AGGCGGATCGCCGGAGCCCAGCAGGTCGAGGCTGCAGTGGCCGGGAGCGGCCACTGCACTCCAGTCTGGGCGACAGAGTGAGACTCCAACTCAAAAAAAATAAAAATAAAAATAATGCAACATTTGCTAAAATATCTAGGTGGCAGACATCTTTAAGAATTCCACCCAGCTCACAACACCACACCTTACCCTAAAAGCAGCCACCAAATCCAACATGTATTTGCTACATGACCTTATTTCTCAGATCAAAGATGTCAAGAAACAACTCATGTTGTAACAAGCCAACAAGAATCTCTGGTAGGAAACTGGACTGAGATATACTCAAGCAATTTAAGCTGGTTGATTAAACACAGCAGATTACAGTAGATACACAAAGCAAAGAAGAGATGGAACTATCATATCCAGTTACACCTTGAGGCTCAGCTACTTCTGACCTTTGGGTTTCTTAAAACCCATTTATCTTTGCTACAAATTCTCTTGCATTGCCCAAAGCTCACTGAGTTCATTTCTAGTACTTAAACCCAAAAGTCCTAGCTAATATAACCAACCTTCACCTTCTTCATCCTCTTCACCTTCTTCTTCTTCATCTTCATCCTCCTCCTCTGGGATGCTGTCTACTGTATGTCGATCATCCTCATCTTCATCCTCTTCTTCCTCTACATCCACATCATCTTCGTCATCTTCTCCTTCTTCCTGCTGTTCCTCTTCTACTTCTCCTTCATCAGAATACTGACCTTCCTGGGGAACTGAATTCCGATCAGGAGAAATGGGCTCAAAGTAATCTTCTCTATGAGAGGCATCCTCTTCCTTGTCACCAGACACTGAAAAATTGAGATTTAAGGCACAGATTATTTTAATGCTTTAAATAATACAAGACAGTCCTGACTGTATATGGCAAATACTTAATATTTTGGGTGACTTAGCTCATAAAATACTTTTTTAAAAAGGTGGCAGAACAGCCAGGCTCGGTGGCTCAGCCTGTAATCCCGCGCCTTTGGGAGGCTGAGGTGAGTGGAATGCCTGAGCCCCCGTGTTCGAGTCCCGCCTGGGCAACTTGGCGAGACCTCATCTCTACAATAAATCAAAAAATTAGCCGGGCGTGGTAGCGTGCGACTGTAGTTTCAGCTACTCAGAAGGTTGAGGCAGAAGGATCGCCAGAGCCCAGCAAGTAGAGGCTGCGGTGGCCGGGAGCGGCCACTGCACTCCAGTCTGGGCAACAGAGTGAGACTCCAACTCAAAAAAAAAAAAAAAGGTGGCAGAACTACTTGCTTTTAAAAAATACTGAGTAGCCGGGCTCAGTGGCTCAGTCTGTAATCCCGCGCTCTGGGAGGCTGAGGTAAGTAGATTACCTGAGCCCGTGGGTTCGAGACCCGCCTGGGCAACTTGGTAAGACCTCATCTCCACAATAAATCAAAAATTAGCCAGGCATGGTGGCGCGCACCTATAGTTTCAGCTATTTGGAAGGCTGAGGCGGAATGATCGCCGGAGCCCAGCAGGTCCAGGCTACGGTGGCTGGGAGCGGCTACTGCACTCCAGTCTGGGCAAAAGAGTAAGACTCCAACTCAAAAAAAAAAAAAAAAATTAAGAGTATATATTATACTACTTCATATAGTAAGAACTAATAAAGTATAATATTTTATGTTCTTGTTAGTTATTAAGTAAACCATATGGATTTTTATCGCTTTCAACACATACTAATTTTTAACTAGTACTCATTAGTATATATCACTGGAGCAAACTAACACTATTTTCAAAGAAATGTTGGTACAGCTTCAAATGAACTAATTTTTTTAAACAAGTTCATTGGACAACAGAAAGAAAACTACAGGGAAATACTGCATAGCATGAAGGGGAGATTCACCAAGATCTGATGACCAGCATCTGATTTATTTTCTTTCATCAAAAAAACTCCTTTAATACTAACTGGCCTGGGAAACTTGGCGAGACCTCATCTATACAATAAATGAAAAAATTAGCCAGGCATGGTGTCACATGCCTGTAGTTCCAGCTACTTGGAAGGCTGAGGCAAAGGATCACCTGAACCCATCAGGTCAAAGCTGTAGTGACCATGAGCATGCCATTGCACTCCAGCCTGGGTAACAGTAAGACTCCAGTTCAAAAAAAGAAGAAGAAAAAAAAAAACTAACCAGAGGAAAAAAACTTAGCACTGATTTTATTTATACCTGGCAGAGGCATAGGGTCATCTTCATCATCATCAGGTGGAGGGGGTCCTGGAGGAGTTCTTGGTCCCCTTGGCTGTGGTCTTGGAGGGCTTCCATTAAACTGATCTTCTTTCTCCCCATCAGCTAGTTTTATTAAGTGGCAAAAAAAAAAAATTCAAATTACAGATCTTGACCAACAGGGGTCTGAACTGTGCAGGTCCACTTACATGCAAACTTTTTTCAACCACAAACATGGATCAAAAATACAGTATTCAAGAGGTATGAAACCCACATATATATGAAGGACCAACTCTTCAGATATGTGGATTCCCCAGGGCTGACTTTGGGACTTGAGTATGTAAATATTTGGGTATACATGGGTGGTCCTGGAGCCAGTCAATCCCCTGAGTATATCAAACAAGACTGTATTAAAGTGTAGCAAAATAAATGATAAAAACTGCATTTTATCATTTGAGAATTTCATTTTTAGAATTGATAATAAGCTTTGCCTTTTTGATGTCTTAACAGAAATTTTACTGATTAGTCTATACTGGTAAAGTTAGAATTTCTGACTTGCCACATACAAAATAATGTATGTGGGCATAATCCCAGAAAAATGAAGACTTATTTTCATGCCCCCCCCAAAAAAGGTACACAAATGTTCAGCTTTATTTAATAACCAAAATAGCCAGCTTTATAGTAATAGCCAAAAACTGGAAACTACCCAAATGTTCTTCAACAGGTGAGCAGTTAAATAAACTGTGGTACATCCATACTATTTAACACTACTCAGCAATAAAAAAGAACTATTAATATATATAATAAAGCTAATGAACCTCAAGAGAATTATGCTGAATGGGAAAAGTCAATCTCAAAGATACTTACTGCATGGTTTCATTCAATTTGTAAAATAACATAATTATAGAGATGGTGAACAGACTAGTGATTGCCAAAGGTTAGAAATAAGTGAGATGGATAAGGCTATATTAAAGGTAACATGAAAGAATCTTGTAGCAATGGTATAATTAAATGTCTTGATTATAATGGGTTATGCAAGGCTTCACATGACATAAAAATACACAGAGCTACACACATAGACACACAAACAAGTGCATGTCTAATAGTGAATTCTGAACAAGCTCTACAGATTGCAACAGTGCCAACTCTCTGGTTTTGATACTGTACTACAGTTATTAAAGACGTTAACACTGGAGAAGGCTGAAGAGCACACAGGACTTCCCTGCACACTTCTTTGCAACTGCCTGCAAATCTATAATTACTTCAAAGTAAAAAGTTAAAAACATATGTACATAATCTATGTGCTTAAGCGTCAATTACAAAACAAGTGAGTATGTTGAACAAAATTTTAGAGTAGCCACTATATATGTCAGGCACTGTGATAAGACTAAAGATACAAATATAAGTAAAACATACTCTGTCAACAAGGAGCTCATAGCCTGGTAAGAGACAAATAAGCACAGAAGAATGAAAGATGAAAAGAAAAAGTGAAAGACTAACTGTGCTGGGCAGGTAAGATATAAGAAAAGTAAAGTGTATGACCTCCATCAGAGAAGAAGAGCTCATACCACACTACATATCAAGATTTAAAAAATAAAAAGCCAGGTATGCTAGCTCACACTTATAATCTCAGCACTTTGGGAGGCCGAGGTGAGAGGACAGGCTGAGTCCACTGGTTTGAGACCAGCCTGGGCAACTTGGCGAGACCACATCTCTAATACAAATCAAAAAATTAGCCGGGCATAGTGGTGCGTGCCTATAGCTCCAACTACGTGGAAGGCTGAAGTGGAGGGATTGCCTGAACACAGCAGGTCAAGGCTGCTGTGGCCGTGCCACTGCACTTCAGCCTGGGTGACAGAGTAAGAATCCAACTCAAAAAAAAAAGTCATTTTAAATGTAGTCATAGAATGCTAACTATAAAGAAAATATTTTCAAAAGTATTCTTGAATTTTCACTCATTCATTCATTCATTAAGATGGATCCCACTATGTTGCTCAGCCTAGACTCTAACTCCTGGGCTCAAGCAATCCTCGTGCTTCCATCTCCTGAGAAGCTGGGATTACAGGTGCACACCACTGAGCCTGGCTCTGAATCTACCTGTTTCAACCCATTATAGTGATTACTACTAGAGAAGAGACCCTGGGAAACATAAGCACACCTCTCTGCCCTCCAGTATATTTAAGTTCTTATTTCTCATTTCCAGTTAATGAGCAAAAGGTTCTCAAAAGTGGGAAAAATCTGCATTAGTTAAGATTTATATAACTAAACAAATTTGAAATACACTTCAGAAAAATAATGCCATTAACATACATATTCCAGAAATACAGACAAAACTTCCTACTTGCTTTTCAATTCGTTTAGAGATAATTTTGAAAGCAAACCATAACTAACCACTGGACTGCATTATCATCAACATATTTTAAATGGGAAAAAATATCCCCTCAGGTCAATTTTTTAAAAAATTAAAAGAAATTAAAATTAAGAGAAATGCTTACAGAAAAGAATGGGAGATTGACAGATATCTTGTCAAGTCTTAAGCAAAGTTCAAAAGGTGTAAGAGGTCTTTGAATTACCTTTTCTTACTATAATTGGATATAAGTTTCACTGGCAAAAGCAAACTTAAAATTCTCACCATGCTTTGGATTCCTTTTCAAACTTGGCTGTGGCTGGGGAGGTGGTGGAGGTGGAGGTGGAGGTGGTGGAGAGTCTCTGTCATGACTTATCACTCTATCCACTGATCCGTATATTGCCAGTGTCAGACAGTTGTACCAGCCTCTTAGCACCAGACCATCAGTATTCACCTGATTTTTAGGGAAAAAAAATCTTTGAAACTACTGTTGTAACAGATATCAAGTTAGTTTGTGGTGCAACATCAGTCTTTAAAAGTATGCTGAAAATGCAAAGGTCAATATGGATCAAATTCACCCAGAGGCATAGCTTTTATATAGCTCTCCAAGAGTTATCACAAATAAACCTAGTAAGACTATATCTCCACAGTTCCATACTTTATGTCAACCCTGTTCAAAGAGAATATAAGTAAGAGAAGAAATGGGAATAAAATTAAGTAGCAGTTTTTACTAATTAATAAATTAAATCCCAATATCTACAAGGGTTATAAAAGGGAACAAAAGCGCAAATTGTGTCACTCTAAAAAATGAAAAGTCGGCCGGGCTCAGTAGCGCAGCCTGTAATCCCAGCACTTTGGGCGGCTGAGGCAAGTGGATTGCCTGAGCTTGCAGGTTTGAGACCAGCCTGGGCAAGTTGGCAAGACCTTGTCGCTACAATAAATCAAAAATTTAGCCGGGCTCGGTGGCTCAGCCTGAAATCCCGCACCTTTGGGAGGCTGAGGTGAGTGGATTGCCTGAGCCCGCGAGTTCGAGACCCGCCTGGGCAGCGAAACCTCATCTCTACAAAAAATCAGCTGGGCGTGGTAGCGCATGCCTGTAATTCTGGCTACTTGGAAGGCTGAGGCAGAAGGATCGCCGGAGTCCAGCAGGTCGAGGCTGCAATGGCTGGGAGCGGCTCCAGTCTGGGCGACAGAGTGAGACTCCAACTCAAAAAAAAAAGCTTCTGGATGCAAGAGGTCTCAGATAAGAAATGATGACATTCTGAAGCACTAAAACCAAATAAGCTGACATTCTGCTCACTCTCTTATTTGAATCATAAACTTTGAATGCAGATGAGAACAAACATTAATTACAGGTTGAAAATTGACTTCCACAATTACCTTTGAGTTGGGTCTAAAGATGATAGAAGTATTTTCATCATACTCCAGGCTGCCAAAAGAGTAAGAATAAATATATTGCTCAGACACTGAATATCACAGTTCATAAATAAGTCTTTCTAGATTCAAATATTTTTAACATACTCAAATGCTAGATTTTTGTTTTGATTTAACAAACCACAAAGTTTGGGTTTAATGTACTGCCCCCAATATGCTGTCAAGAAAAATAAATAGGACATTGCTAGGCCACTGCCTTGTAAAGCTATGACGTGGCCATGAGTTCTTTGAGCTATGGCCAGGTCACATTTCCTGGCTTTGGCCCCCTCCTCTACATTCATGAGGTGAATCTCCTCTCTTTCTCTCTCTCTAATTTACTTTCAAAATAAACTATATTTTCTCATCTAAAAAAAAGAAAAAGAAATAAACCAAGCCCCCCGAGATTCTGAATTAATAGGTCTGGGGTAAGCATAGAAATCAGTATGTTTCTAAAAGCACTCCAGGTAATTCTAATATATAGCCAAAGTAGAGAACCACTGCATTATAGTCATACAAAAATGCAGATCACAACCAAAATTTTTAAAAAGCAATTATCGCCGGGCTCGGTGGCTCAGCCTGTAATCCCGCGCCTTTGGGAGGCTGAGGTGAGTGAATAGCCTGAGCCCGCGGGTTTGAGACCCGCCTGGGCAGCGAGACCTCATCTCTACAATAAATAAAAAAATCAGCCGAGCATGGTAGCGCATGCCTGTAATTCCGGCTACTTGGAAGGCTGAGGCGGAAGGATTGCCGGAGCCCAGCAGGTCGAGGCTGCGGTGGCTGGGAGCAGTCACTGCACTCTAGTCTGGGCAACAGAGTGAGACTTCAACTCAAAAAATAAAAAATAAAAATAGCCGGGTTCGGTGGCTCAGCCTGTAATCCCGCACCTTTGGGAGGCTGAGGTGAGTGGATTGCCTGTGCCCACGGGTTCGAGACCCGCCTGGGCGGCGAGACCTCACCTCTACAATAAATTAAAAATCAGCCGGGCATGGTAGCGCATGCCTGTAATTCCGGCTACTTGGAAGGCTGAGGCGGAAGGATTGCCGGAGCCCATCAGGTCGAGGCTGCGGTGGCCGGGAGCGGCCACTGCACTCCAGTCTGGGTGACAGAGTGAGACTCCAACTCAAGAAAAAAAAAAAAGCAATTATCGGCCGGGCACAGTAGCTCAGCCTGTAATCCCAGCACTTAGGGAGGCCAAGGTGAGCGGATTGCCTGAGCCCATGAATTTGAGACCACCCTGGACAACTTGGTGAGACCTTGACTCTACAATAAATTACAACAAAAAAATTAGCCAGCTGTGGTGACATGGGTCTGTAGTTCCTTGGAAGGCTGAGGCAGAAGGACTGCCTGAGCCCAGCAGTTTGAGGCTGCGGTGGCCATGAGCATAACAATGCACTCCAGCCTGGACGATAGAGTGAGACTTCAACTCAAAAAAAAAAAAAAAAGTTAACTATCTTTATCAAGTAGGTACTAACATAAAAACACCAGAAAATATCAAATATTACCTGCTTGAGATTATCTGTTTCTCTTTATTTAAAAAAAAAAAGGAGCCGGGCTCGGTGCCTCAGCCTGTAATCCGCGCCTCTGGGAGGCTGAGGAGAATGGATTGCCTGAGCCTGCAGGTTCGAGACCTGCCTGGGCAGCGAAACCTCATCTCTACAATAATCAAAAAATCAGCCGGGCGTGGTAGCACATGCCTGTAATTCCGGCTACTTGGAAGGCTGAGGCGGAAGGATCGCCGGAGCCCAGCAGGTCGAGGCTGCGGTGGCCGGGAGCGGCCACTGCACTCCAGTCTGGGCGACAGAGTGAGTGAGACTCCAACTCAAAAAAAAAAAAGGTTAAATTATCAATACAATGTAGTAATAAATGAGAGAAGGACTAATAAAAAAGAGTACATAAGTGGGGCACAGTGGCTCACGCCTGTAACCCTAGCACTTTGGGAGGCTAAGGCGAAAGGAATGCCTGAGCCCACGTATTCAAGACCAGACTGGGCAACTTGGCAAGACCTTGTCTCTGTAATAAATCAAAAAGATTAGCTGGACCATTGTGGTACACACCTGTAGTTCCAGCTACTTGGAAGGCTTAGGCAGAAGGATAACCTGAGCCCGGTAGGTCAAGGATGCAGTGGCCATGAACGTGCCACTGCACTCCAGCCTGAGTAACAAAATGAGACTCTGACTCAAAAAAAAAAAAAGTGATGTCTAAGAAACTGTTAATTCCTGACAGGGATAGAAATTTCCCATTTTGAGTTGCCTTTAAAGTTTTTTATTTCTCCAAGTACTATTCTATTTATTTTTTTAGTTAGAGTCTCACTCTGTCACCCAGACTGGAGTGCAGTGGCCGCTCCCAGCCACTGCAGCCTCAACCTGCTGGGCTCCGGCAATCGTTCCACCTCAGCCTTCCAAGTAGCTGGAACTACAGGCGCACACTACCACGCCTGGCTAATTTTTGATTTATTGTAGAGATGCGGTCTTGCCAAGTTGCCCAGGCGGGTCACGAACCTGCAGGCTCAGGCAATCCACTCACCTCAGCCTCCCAAAGCATGGGATTACAAGGCTGAGCCACCGTGCCTGGCTCCATTTATTTTTTAGATGAGTTCTAAGTAAACTCATTTAATGGTGAATTTGTCTGTAGACAGCGTAACATCCAGTTTTAATAATACTTAGCATATATTATAAAATCCAAAATGGGGATACTTATTAGCAAAAGTCCCATTTTTTAAAAGGGAGCTATGAGGCTGGGTGCAGTGGCTCACGTAACTCCAGCACTTTGGGAGGCTGAGGCCAGGAGTTTTAGACCATAAAACTGTGCAACATAACAAGACCTTGTCTCTACCAAACAAATTAAAAAGTTTTTCTTTTAATTTGGCTGTGGAATTTTAAATTGCACAGCAGCATGAAGAGACACACTTAAAATATTAGCTTTAATGTATTTATATAATATTTTTAAGAATCAAAAAAACAATCTCAGCCAGGTGCAGTAACGCACACCTCTAATCCCAGCACTTTTGGCAGACCGAAGCAAGAGGACTGCTTGAGCCCAAGAGTTCAAGACCAGTCTGGGCATCATGGTGAGACCTCGTCTCTAAAATAAATTTAAAAATTAGCTTGGCATGGTGATACATGTCTCTAGTCCCAGCTACTCGAGAGACTGAAGGATTGCCTGAGCCCAGGAAGTCAAGGCTGAAGTAAGCCATGATCATGCCACTATACGCCAGCCTGTAACAGTGAGATCCTGACTCAAAACAAACAAACAAAAAAAAAACCCAATTTTTTTTCCAAATTAGATTATCAAAACGTGAAATCATGTACAAGAAATGCATGTATGAGTAATCATATGTACAAGAAATGCATGTATGAGTAATAAACAAACAAAAAAGATGGCTAATGTTTCACACATTAAAATTTTTATTTTGTAAATAAACTTAACATTTTCTTAGGAATTTAACATTTTTCTATAATATTACTTTGGCCAGGCTCGGTGGCTCAGCCTGTAATCCCATGCTTTGGGAGGCTAAGATGAGTGAATTGCCTGAGCTCACGGGTTTGAGACCCGCCTGGGCAACTTGGCGAGACCTCATCTCTACAATAAATCAAAACAATTAGCCAGGCGTGGTAGTGCACGCCTGTAGTTTCATCTGCTTGGAAAGCTGAGGCAGAAGGATCACCGGAGCCCAGCAGGTCGAGGCTGCAGTGGCCGGGAGCGGCCACTGCACTCTAGTCTGGGCGACTGAGATTCCAACTAAATAAATAAATAAATAAATAAAAATTTTAAAAATAAATAATAATATTACCTTGATTAAACTCTGCATTTTGTGGGTTTACTACCAAATAAACCCTTTTCTTCTATCCAAAGAATAAAAAGGCTAGGTGCAATGCCTCATGCTTGTTATCCCAGCACTTGAGGGGGCCAAAGCGAGAGGACTGCTTGAGGCCAGGGGTTTAAGACCAGCCTAAGCAATATAGCAAGATCTTGTCTCTACTTAAAAAAAAATTAGCTGGGCATGGTGGCATGTGCCTATAGTCCCAGCTATTCAGGAATCTAAGGCAGGAAGACTGCTTGAGGCTAGGAGTTTGAAGCTGCAGTGAGCTATGATCATGCCACTATACTCCGGTCTGGGCAACAGAGTGTGACTCTGTCTTTAAAAAACTTTTTAACTTAAAATTAAGAAATAAATAAATAAGCTGGGCTCAGTGGCTCAGCCTGTAATCCCGCACCTTTGGGAGGCTGAGGTGAGTGGATTGCTTGAGCCCACGGGTTCGAGACCCGCCTGGGCAGCGAGACCTCATCTCTACAATAAATAAAAAAAACAATCAGCCGAGCATGGTAGCACGTGCCTGTAATTCTGGTTACTCGGAAGGCTGAGGCGGAAGGATCGCCGGAGCCCAGCAGGTCGAGGCTGCGGTGGCCAGGAGCGGCCACTGCACTCCAGCCTGGGCAACAGAATGAGACTCCAACTCAAAATAAATAAATAAATAAATAAAAAGAGTTTGCTTATTAACTCATGAGTTTCTAATGAAATTAACTAACAGGTACATACCTTCCCAATCTATCGAAAACAGGGGCACTTGGCTTGCTTACATTGTTGAAGAATAAGTCTAATTGAAATGTGTGTGGAGATGTCTCCCTGTGAATGAAATAAAGTTGAAACATCAGTCTTTGTAATAAATGGTTCCAAATTAAAACAAAAAATACAGTAAGCATAAAATTAAGCACAATTTTTAAATTAGAATATTCTTAAAATTTATATAACGAAAATATAGAGTTAACAATGATCTTTTATGTGACTTTACTCAAATCCAATTCTCAGTTTTAACCATCAAGTATCTTTTCTCTGCTATTTAGTTTACATTAAATATTTTAAAATTTTGGTTGGGCATGGTGGCTCACGCCTATAATCCCAGCACTTTGGGAGGCCGAGGTGAGAAGATTTCCTAAGCCCACAGGTTCGAGATCAGCCTGGGCAACTTGGCAAGACCTCTTCTCTACAATAAATCAAAAAATTAGCTGGGTGTGGTGGTGCATGCCTGCAGTTTCAGCTACTTGGAAGGCTGAGGCGGAAGAATCACCTGAGCTTAGCAAGTCGCGGCTGCGGTGGGCATGAGAGTGCCACTGCACTCCAGCCTGGGCAATACACCTCAAAAAATAAATAAATATAAAATGTTCATGTATTTTAAAGGTAAATGCTAATTGTTATGATATCAAATTGTGCAATTTTTATAGCACCGTTCCCTTTCATTAGCAAAAAGAATCAGGAGTTAACTAATTTCAGGTTGTATATTATGACTACAATTTGATTTCAACTTAATCTACATTAATACAAGACCATAATAATAACTTTAGCAAGGGTCCTAAATTGCGACTTAAAGCCTGAATTGAAATTTAAATAGTAGCATTTTACAATATCTTTGCTTTTTAAAAATAGTTTATATAGTTAAGATTAAAACCTATTTAATTTGCATTAGACTGGAATCTTGCTACCCTTTATATAAAAGATACTATATCCTAGCACCCTTGGCCAAAATTTCTTAGGTTAAACTAAAATCTTAATATATGCGTTGTTCTTGTTAATTTAAATAAAAATCCAAGTGGTAAAAAGTATATTGTGCAGAGTACTATCAAACAGATTCCTTCACGTACTTCTGGTAGAAGTACAAACAGGTACAATCAGTCTGAAAAGCAATGTGGCAATAAAATTAGAGAGACTGAGAAAATGTTCACACCATGCTATGGCTTGAATGTATCCCCCAAAGTTCATGTGTTAGAAACTTAATCCCCAATGCAACCATCAGTGTTGGAAAGTGAACCTTAACAAAAGGTGATTAGGCCATGAGAGCAGAGTCCTCATGAATAAATTAATGTCGTTATCTGAGGAGTGAGTTAGTTACCCTGAGAGTGGGCCAGTTAACAAAGCAAGTTCAGCCCCCACTTGCTCTCTCTTGCACTCTCTGGTCCTTCTGCCATCCACCAAGGCATGATGCAGCAAGAAAGCCCCTGTCAGATGCTGGCAAGTTGATATTGAACTTCCCAGCCTCCAGAACTGAGAAATAAACTTCTTCACAAATTACTAGTCTGTGGTATTCTGTTATAATAACACAAAATTGATTAAAAAAACACCATTTAATCCATTTTTTTCTAAGGAGTGTTTCTACAGAAACACTGATATTCAAACAAGAGGACATTCATCATACTACTACTTGTAATCTGAAAACTTAAAAAACATCTAAAGGTCCCCATATAAGGGACTAACAACATAAAACACAGAGTAGTGATTCATTAGACTATATATTTATTATTAGAAATCATAAATTCAAATAATATTTAATGATGTAAAAGTACTCTTGACATATTAAGTAAAATAAGGAATACACAAAACAGTATACAGTAGGGGAATACATTTACCTTACCCAAATTCAACCATATGTGCCCAATAATTCTAGTCTTTCTCTCTCTCTTACCCTTCTTCAAACTAGACCCTGGACTCGAGTATCTCAAGAAAAGGAAAAAAGGCTGAAATGCAAATTATTTACTTTTGAGCCCCGAAGGCTTAGGTCCTGGTCACTAAAGAGCAACTTAAAAGAATTAAAGGTAATACAACTGCACTAGTCTTGTTATCTTACAACTTGGTGACTCTAAAAAACCTAACCTCACACATCACATTTACAAAAGGCAAAAACAAAACATATATACATACATATAAATCACATATATATACAAACACACACACATCAAAAACAATATATCAAATGTTTAGATTCTCTTGGAATAGAGAGATTAAAAGAATTCTCAGTTTACCTATGTGTTTCTGAATTTTACATTGCAAAAAACACTATTGTAAAACACACTCACAAACATCATTAGATCTCTAACATTACTTTCAACCTTAAGAGTCTGGTCTTCAACCTTAAGAGTCTGGTCTTCCAGGCAGTGGCTCACACCTGTAATCTTGGGACTCAGGAAGGCAGAGGCAAGAGGATTGCCTAAGCCCACAGGCTCAAGACTAGTCTGGACAACAGGGTGAGACCTTGTCTCTACAATAAATCAAAAAATTAGCCAGGCTCGGTAGCTCAGCCTGTAATTCCGTGCCTTTGGGAGGCTGAGGTGAGTGGATTGCCTGAGCCCACGGGTTCGAGAGCCACCTGGGCAACTTGGCGAGACCTCATCTCTACAGTAAATCAAAAATTAGCTGGGCGTGGTAGCGTGCGCCTGTAATTCCAGCTACTTGGAAGGCTGAAATGGAAGGATTGCCGGAGCCCAGCAGGTCAAGGTTGCAGTGGCCAGAAGCGGCCACTGCACTCCAGTCTGGGTGACAGAGTGAGACTCCAACTTAAAAAAAAAAATTAGCTGGGCATGATGGCGCATGCCTGTGGTTCCAGCTATTCGGAAGGCTGAGGCAGAAGAATAACCTGAACCAGCAGGTTGAGGCTGCGGGGGTCATGAGTGTGCCACGGCACTCCAGCCTAGGCAACAGAGTGAGACTTCAACTAAGAAATAAAAATTAAAAAAAAAAAAAAAGATTCTGGTCTTCCTGATGCTTAATTGTTTTACTGCATTAATGCTTTATCTTGGCCAAGTGCGGTGGCTCACGCCTATTATCCCAGGATTTTGGGAGGCCGAGGCAAGAGGATTGCCCGAGTCCAAGGGTTCAAGACCAGCCTGGGCAACTTGGTGAGGCCTTATCGCTACATAAATAAATAAATAAATAAATAAAATTAGCTGGGCATGGTGGTACATGCCTGTACTGTAGTGCCAGCTGCTTGGGAGGCTAAGGCGGAAGGATGGCCTGAGCCAGCAGGTTGAGGCTGTGGTAGTCAAGAGCATGCCACTGCCTTCCAGCCTGGATGACAGAAAAAAAAAACATTTACCTTACTGTTCTGTAACATATCAGTCATGTATAAAGTTGTTTCTGATATTTTCATATTTGGAATTATTAAAAACACAAACAGCCATTCATCCCTAGCTAAGAAAAAGGAAGAGGGTCAAGGAGAGAGAAAATATAACAAATAACTCCTATGGCCATGTGCAGTGGCTCATGCCTGTAATCCCAGCAATTTGGAAGACCAAGGCAGGAGGATCACTTGAGGTCAGGAGTTCAAGATCAGGCTGGGCAACACAGTGAGACTTCATCTCTACAAAAAATTTTTAAAAATGGGTCGGATGTGGTGGCTTACACCTGTAATCCCAGCACTTTGGGAGGCAGGGGCGAGAGGACTGCCTGAGCCCACAGGTTCGAGACCAGTCTGAACAACTTGGCGAGACCTTGTCTCTACAATAAATAAAAAAAAATTAGCTGGGCATAGTGGCACATACCTGTCGTTTCAGTTAATTGGAAGATTGAGGCAAAAGGATCACCTGAACCCAGCAGGTCAAGGTTGCAGTGGCTGTAAGCATGCCACTGCCTCCAGCCTGAGCAATAGAGTTAGACTCTGACTCAAAAAAAAGGAAATTAAAAAATTAGCCAGGTACCCCACAATATCATAATAAAAAATATTGATTAAAAAAAAAAAAAAACCGGGCTCGGTGGCTCAGCCTGTAATCCCTCGAGGCTGAGGTGAGTGGATTGCCTGAGACTACGGGTTCGAGATCCGCCTGGGCAACTTGGTGAGACCTCATCTCTACAATAAATCAAAAATTAGCCAGGCGTGGTAGCGTGCACCTGTAGTTCCAGCTACTTGGAAGTCTGAGGCGAAAGGATCACCGGCGCCCAGCAGGTTGAGGCTGCGGTGGCCAGGAGCGGCCACTGCACTCCAGTCTGGGTGACAGAGTGAGACTCCAACTCAAAAAACAAAAAAACAAAAAAAAAAGGAAGAAGAAAAGGGAGAACAGAGAGGGAAATTTTGGGAGAAAGAGAAAGAAGGAAGGGAAAAAAGGGGAAAAAAAAAAGAAAAAAGAAAAATAAAGAAATAATTAGCCAGGCATGCTGGCACACACCTAGAGTATCAGATACCTAAAAGGCGAAGGGAGAAGGCCACTGTACTCCAGCCTGAACAAAAGAATGAAAGCCTGACATTAAAGAAAAATCTCCTACCTATTGCAGCTAATGGAAGAAATCCAGTTTGCCTGCTATGGCAGCCAGCTTCCAATATGGCTCCCAATGACCCCTGCTTCCTGATATTCACAACTGTGTAGTCTCCTCCCAAACTGTACCAGCAGAATATGTAACCAACAGCATATGATAAAAGTGAAAGAATGTCACTTCCAATATTAAGTCATAAAACATACTGACTGTGGCTTCCTTTTTAGGCATGTTCTCTCACTCTTGGATCACTCACTCTGGAGAACGCCATGCCATGACATGAGTAAGCCCACGGAGAGGACCTCCTGGCAAGGAACTAAGACAGCAGTCATGTGAGTAAGCTAGCAAGCAAATTTTCCAGTCCCAGTCTATATCTTGACTACAACCTCATGAAAGAACCTGAGCCAGGCTGGGTGCAATGGCTCACGCCCATAATTCCAGCACTTTGGGAGGCCGAGGTAAGATGATTGCCTGAGCCCACAAGTTTGAGATCAGCCAGAGCAACTTGGCAAGATCTCATCTCTACAATAAAAATAAAATAAAATAAAAAATTAGCTGGGCATGGTGGTGCACGCCTCTAGTTCCAGCTACATGGAAGGCTGAGTTGGAAGGATCGCCTGTGCCCAGCTGGTCGAGATTGCTGTGGCCATGAACGTGTCACTGCACTCCAGCCTCGGCAACAGAGTAAGACTTCTACTCAAAAAAAGAAAGAAAAAGAAAAGAAAAGAACCTGAGCCCGATAAGCCACTATCAGATTCCTGACCCCCAGAAACAACGTGAGATCATAAATGTTTAGTTTTAGACTGCTAAATTTACTGTAATTTGCTATGAAACATATTATAGATAAATGAGCCTTTCTTGATGAAATGCAGTGCAATCAGAGAAGACTGCTGGATACACTATCATTATGACATCTTTCCTATTTCACACACATCTCCCTTTACAGGAAACAAAGGAAGAAACATATAGAAAATTGTAAGTTTTTGCCATGTATGGTGGCTCATGCTTGTAATCGCAGTATTTTGGGAGGTGAGGCGGATTGCTGGGGCCAAGGAGTTCATGATCAGCCAAAGCAACATAGTGAGACCTCATCTCTACAAAAAAATAAAATAAAAAATAGCCAGGCATGGTGGCATGCACATACAGTCCCAGCTACTCAGGAGACTGGGGTGGAAGGATCACCTGAGTCCAGGAGATTGAGGCTGCAGTGAGCCATGCCACTGCACTCCAGCCTGGATGACAGAATGACACTTGACTCAAAAAAAAAAAAAAAAAAAAGGAAAACATGAGTTTTAATTTTCTTAAACGTGGAAAAAAAAACAGAATTAAAATGATTATGAATTAAAATTAAAATGATCCCTCATTACAAACATTAATTAAATATTCTTACTATTTTATTTTGTATCTTTTAATTTTTGAATGGCAACTTGGAAGATTTTATATCTATTTCTACAAATAATTATTTTTCATAATTATGAAGAAATAAGCCCTTAAACTTTTAATCTATCCCATTAAACTCACCATGAGGTAGCTGGTTTAACTCTTTTATGTAACAGAAATTGAATTTTACATAGCACGTATGGTATGAATACCTAGGTTATAAGCTAATAACTCATGTAAGATATATTTATGACATATATATATATACTCATGTTTATTATAATTAGAAGATGATGATTATTCATGCTACAAAAAAGATAAAATGCCTCTGGTTTTTTGTTTTGTTTTGTTTGTTTGTTGCTGTTTTTGTTTTTGAGTTGGAGTCTCACTCTGTCGCCCAGACTGGAGTGCAGTGGCCGCTCCCGGCCACCGCAG